GGTGTCCGGCTGAGATCCTGGCCCCTTGAAGAGCAGATTATGGGACCAAACTCCATGCTGCACAGTGCAGCATCACAGGAATGTGAAGGCATGCGGTCTCCCTTGCTGCGCTCCTAGGAGCTCCCAGGGGAAGGCTTGCGGATCCCAGCACCACCCAGGGCACCAATGTCCACCAGTGTGGGGTTGCTGCAAGGCTGACATCCTTTCTGCTGACATTAGCAAGCCACGGAATCACTGTGCAGGCTCACGGTCCCCTGCCTGAGATGTGTTATGGTGTGGTTATGGTGCAGTGGGAGCATCCTTGTGGCAGCCAGTGGTCCCCCCTGGTGCCCTCCGAGGCCATCCGCCAATGCAGCATCCTCACACTATCTCTTTGCTGTCCTGCAGATGCCGTGTTGGGACCGCCTGCTTTCCACCTGGATGCTGCTCTTCCGCAGGAAGACCCCGGGCGGCTCGATGCCCTCCAGCCTCCGCCGCTGCCTCTCCCCCTCTGACCTGGTTGCACTGGGAGTGGGCAGCACGCTGGGGGCTGGTGTCTATGTGCTGGTGGGGGACGTGGCCAAGACCACCTCCGGCCCCAGTATTGTTATTTCTTTCCTGATTGCAGCCATTGTGTCCATTTTATCTGGGTTGTGCTATGCCGAATTTGGGGCGCGCGTGCCCATGGCTGGCTCTGCTTATCTCTACTGCTATGTGACAGTGGGCGAGCTGTGGGCGTTCATCGCTGGGTGGAATCTGCTGCTGTCCTATGTCATCGGTATAGGCCACTTCTGACCCTTCCAGTGCTTGGTGGCCATGGGTTTGCCTAGCTCCATTGGGAGTATCCCCAGCAGAGCCTAAGTCAACACCATCACCTCTCTCCAGGTACCGCCAGCGTTGCTCGAGCCTGGAGCGCTACCTTTGATGAGCTCCTTGGCAAGAGGATGGGGAGGTTTTTGGATGCCCATGCCCCCATCAACTCTGCAGGGCTGGCAGAGCATCCCGATGTCCTTGCTGCGTGCCTGGTGGTGCTGCTGGCAGGTAATGTGCTTACCTCACACCACCCTACTGCGCAGGAGGATCCCACTGCTGTCCTTCATTTCTACCATCCCCAGTGATGTCCACTGTGGTGTCACCCCAAGGGCACGGCCAGCTTTGTGCTCTTCTCCTCAGGGCTGCTTTCCTTTGGAGTGAAGGAGTCCACCACAATCAACAAAGCTTTCACTGCCCTCAATGTGCTCATCTTGCTCTTCATCACAGCCAGTGGCTTCATCAAGGGCGACCTGAGCAACTGGCAGCAGCGGGAGGAGGACCTGCCCTGGGCAGCTCATGAGGCTGGGTATGAGTGGCTCTGCTACCCAGTGCTGCCTTCATAGGGGTGTGGATGAATGGGTGGCCCCCTAATGCTCTCTCCTAGGAAATCCCACTTTCCACTTTATTTCTCCGTGCTCTGTTGACAAATACGCCTTAGAGCCAAAGTCCCATCCTGGGACCCCTTTATGCTGTCTGACTCTTCCTTCTCTTCTTCCTCACAGGAACCAGTCCATGGCTGACAACACAACCAGTGTCTTTGGGATGGGAGGCTTCATGCCATATGGTTTCACTGGCACCTTGGCTGGAGCTGCAACCTGTTTCTATGCTTTTGTTGGATTTGACTGCATTGCTACCACAGGTGAGCCAAGGGAGATGGAGATGTGAAAACCACTATGGTGATGAATCTTCTGCACCCACGTAGATGCTGCAGATCCATTCCCCAGCCTCACCTTGTCCTCCCCAGGGGAAGAAGTGAGGGACCCACAGAGATCCATCCCCATGGGTATTGTCCTTTCCCTCCTTGTCTGCTTCCTGGCATACTTTGGAGTATCTGCTGCCCTCACCCTGATGATGCCCTACCACCTCCTGGACACCACCAGCCCCTTCCCAGTAGCTTTTGACTATGTTGGCTGGGGCAGCGCAAAGCACGCTGTGGCTGTAGGGTCCTTGTGTGCCCTCATCACCAGGTGAGCGGGTGTCCTGGTGTACACAGGTGACCTGTGGACACCACACCTGTGATGCTGGCCCTTATCTGATGGCAAGGGAGGTGACAACCATGCCAATGTGATCTTGAAGAGGTCATAGATGATACAAAAGAGTGGGAGCTCCCCTGGGTGCAGGGTGTCACCTCCCATGTACTGCCCTTTTCTCTCCTCTCTGCAGCCTCCTGGGCTCCATGTTCCCCATGCCAAGGATCCTGTATGCCATGGCTCGAGATGGGCTCCTCTTCAGTCCTCTGGCCAAAGTCAGCAAACGTCAGTGCCCAGTGGTGGCCACGCTGGTGTCTGGAGCAGTGGCAGGTGGGCAAGCTGCTGAGTTAGCTGTTATCCACCAAGGTTGTTCTCATTCAGTAGAGCTCCTATAGCCTGTCTATGGGTTCAAGCAACATCTGAAAGTACAGTGCATTGTGGGGGGAGCCAAGCAGAACCAGGAACCCAAAAGTGAGGAGCTGGGAAATTCCTACAGAAGGTCTCTTGGAGACTCAGAAGGGGGTGCTGAAGGCTGATGCTGTGCCCAGGGGCTGAAGCATCACCACTTGAGCCCTGCTGCAGTGGTGGCACAGGGAGAGCATGGCCCTTGGTGCGCTCCTCATCCCCGCAGCTCTCCTGGCTCTCCTCCTTGACTTGAAGGCTCTGGTGGACACCATGTCCCTCGGCACGCTGCTGTCCTACTCACTGGTGGCAGGCTGTGTGCTTCTGCTCAGGTGTGGCTGCACGGTGGGCTGGGGGGGGATGGGGGCACACAGCATCACTGCCTGATGTTGAACTCCATCCGCTCAGGTACCGCCCTGAGCCCTGCACCCAGGATGCTCCTGTGAGGAAGGTCCCGGTGGCACAGCCTTGGTGGCACGCTGCGCTGCGGCCACCCCCCCATCCCACCCCGCATTCCTACACCGTGGTGTCCTGGGCTCTGCTGGCCATCGGTACGCATGGGGACTATTGGAGAGCTGGTGTGGGTGGACCCGTGGGGACGTGGCGGGGTGGGCAGGGTCACGCCCTGCAGCACATGCTGAGCTCCCTTCTGCCCTCTCCTGGAGCCTCTCTCTCTTTCTGCTTTCCATGCTAAAAGCTACGCAGACAGTCCCGGGCTGCCAGCTCCCACCCCGGCCCCCTGTCCCTTGTCACCGCAGGGAGCTGCTCCTAAAGCATTGATCCGTATCCCCGCAGCCGCGCTGCTCGGTGCCGTCAGTGGGCTTAGCGGTGCCGCGCTGCCCTGCCTGCATGCCCATGAGGCCGGCTGCGGGGCTGCCCTGGTTCTGCTGCTGCTGGGAATCCTGGTAGCCGCTCTCCTCGTCTGGAGGCAGCCGCAGAGCCGGGAGAGAGCATCCTTCATGGTGAGCAAAGCGGCCTCAGGGACCTCCCGTAGGGAAAGGGATCTGGGGGATGGACCACCTGCAGCACCTCCTGCCCCAGTGCAGCACCCATCGGCCAAACCACCCCATGAGCATCCATTTCCACAGTAGGGGCTGGGTTGCAGCACCCCTCAGAGCCCCATATCCCAGTGATGGGGTGGGCTTCCCCTTGCCAAAGTCACAGCACAAAGAGCCCAGGTAGGCTGCAGCTTCCCCAAGGGGTCCAGGCTGACCCCATGACCTGATGGCTGCAGGTTCCCTGCCTGCCCTTCCTGCCACTGCTCAGCATCACTGCCAATAGCTGCCTGATGGCACAGCTCGCTGCGGCCGCATGGCTGCGGTACCTGCTCTGGATGGCCCTTGGTAAGCCCTGCACCTTGCTTTGCTCTGCTGGTGGGGAGTGAGTGGTGGAGAGATGCCTGCTTTTTAGGAAAGGGCAGCGGGAGATTCCCGTCCTCTGATCCGTGGCCCAAAGAGTTTGGAGGAGAGGGCAGAGAGCCCCCCCACTCTATTCTGCCCATTCCCAGGTTTCCTCATTTACTTTGGCTATGGGATCTGGCACAGTGCTGAGAACCACCAGCCCTGGGAGCTGCAGGAGGACAGGGCTGGGGATGCAGCACCCATGTGCGCGGGGAGGGCTGGAGGGGATGGCCTGGTCCCCAGCACCTGGCTTCATCCACCCTGTGCACAGGGAGCTGCTGTCCCTGAGCAGCCCCAACCCTCAGGGCAAGCCCCTGCCAAAGGAGCTTTGTTCAGAGAGGATAAAGCAATCAAGCTTTTTTGCTGTTTTTGTTATTTTTCTGCCACCCCACCGGTCCCCAAAAACACTGACACTGGGCTCTTGAGGCTGCTGCTTCTCATTGACTTGTCATTGTTACAGCCAGTAGCACGTTGGCCTAGTGCACAACTCATACACACACACAAACACAACACAGACACCCGCATCCCGACCACACAGCCCCAGGGAGGGGACAGACTGATGACAGCCTCTGGAGTGGTGACTGTTCCACCACACTCGTGTGTGCCCAGGGGAAAGTGCTGTGTGCATTCAGCCCATACCTGTACCCACCTGTGTGTGGTGGCCCTGCAGCTCTGTTGGTGTCCCCTGGCTTGGAGCAGGGGGACATGACCTGCTGGCATCCTGTGGGAGGATGCTCTGTTCTCAGATGTGCATCTCTACCCAGCATTGGGAGAGAAGATGGAGCTGGTGGTGCTGGCTGATTGCAGCAGGGACAGGCAGGGCTCGGCTGTAGTGTGGCAGTGAGCAGGGTCATACCTGGGCTTGGGAAGGTCCCTGGGAGCTGATCCTGGAGATGGAGGTGGCAGCAGGGAGCTCTGACTGCCCGCCCGCCCCAGGGAATGGGACCAACACATCCCATACCCACTCCACCTCCAGGCAGCACTGATGCTGGATACTCTCAGAGCCAAGCGCTAGGTCAGGGCCAGCCCCCATGCACGTCTGTGTGTTCCAGCTGACCCCGCTCACCCCCAGAAAAGGGGTGTGGGGATGGCACAGTGTGCCCCCCCCTGCAGCAGAGGCTGGGGAAAGGCAGGCGCAGGCGTCCTGGGAAGTGCTCCAGTGCACAGGGCCACCCCAAGGGCCAGCCCTGGAGAGTGGGGGCACTCACAGCTGTGCCACCCCCTGGGCTGTGCGCTACGTGGCAATGAGAGGCACGTCACTGGCAGTGATGGGGAAGGGGCAGCCATCCCCCCCGTTGAGCACGCGGTACAGCAGCTCCTCCTTCTCGTGGTGAGCCTGTTCTCGCAGCTTCGACTCCTTCTCCAGCGCCCCGCGGATGGCCAGCAGCTCCTCTGACAGCTGCCTGTGGGCAAAGGGCAATGCTGTGGGACCCACGTCCCCACCAGTGTCCCTCGTGCCTCCTCAGGTGCCACTCCGGGCCATGAAGCTGATGGATGTGTGCTTACCTTGTCATCACCAGGTGGTTCTGGGTGCGTACCTGCAGGTCCTCATTCTCTTGCTGCAAGGTCTTCACCTTCTCCTCCAGCAGAAGGTTTCTCTCTGCCTGCAAGGGGAACACCAGGGTGAGGAGGGGGCTGGGGAGCACACACTTTGTGTCCCCCAGTGCTGCGCTCAGTGGGAGGCCATCTCAATGGCACCTCCCTGCCCCAAAGGAGGAACCAGGCTCTATCCAGCTCCATTCGGCCACAGATACTGATCAGTATTCAGGTGGGGAGAAGAGATGCATTCGGGTGAATATCAAGAGATAGAAATAGCAAAACCCATCTGCACCCCCCTTGAACTCACCACACTCTCCAGGTTCAGCAGTTTCTTGTCCAGGCCATGGATATGCTCATTCTTCATCTCGATGACAAAATGCAGGCTCTCCAGCTCCTGCTCCCAGAAGGGACTGGGGCTCCCATGCTCCTGGAGGCATGGGAGGGGGGTCAGAACAGCAGCAGGGTTGGCACTTGGCACTTGCTTCTACCTTGGCTTATTTGCCCATGTGTGACCCCACTGGGATGGTGCTCACAGCTGGGGTCCTTCATGCCCACAGTGGCTTTGTACACTCAATGTGCCAAGATTTGCCCTTCACTCGTGTTGAAAGACCCAAACAGCCCACACACCTCCCAGGAATGGCATTTCACCCCTTCTGCTGTCCCAGTGCCCTCTGTGCATCTGTTGTGGGGTCCATCAGAGAAGTTTGTGCCAACCTCCCAGGGACAGGACACCTCCCTGACACCAATATGTGCCCTGGGCAGCCTGATCCAGTGGGTGGCAGCCCTTCCTTGGCAGGGGGTTGGAACTGGATTGGCTTTAAGGCCTCTTCCAACCCAAGTCATTCTATGATTCCATGGATATTTGCACGTTGGGTGTCCTTCAGAGGCCACCAGCTGTGTGTATCCCAGCACCTCGATGTGCTTCTTGTAGTCCCTGCTCAGCAGTGATTCTTCCACCCGCTTCATCCTGTCCTGGAAAGACTGCAGCTGGGACTTCAGCGCGGCGATGGTCTCCTGGGCAGCAGGGGAAGAAGCAGGAGGCAGCTGGGATTTTTTTTCCAGCAGGGACACCCCAATAACACCAGGGCTGCACTGGGGACCCCAAGATGGTCCTCCTACGGCTGAGGATTTCCCCATGGGTACCTGTAAGGCTTCCTGGGACCTATGGTGGGACTCTGCCAGCAGCAGCTTCTCCTGCTCGTGCACTCTTTGGAGCTCTGTAGGGGGAACGAGAGCTGAGTGTCACTGGCATGAGGACACCAGAGGTGGCATCTCCACGTCCCACAGCGCCACATGAGCTGGAGAGGCTCTGGGGAGTGGCTGGGGGTTGTGGGGAGCATTGCTCTGCCCAGGGATCTCACCTTGCAGGGTCTCCTCATGCTCCCTCCTCAGGGCATCAAACTTCTCCTTCAGCTCCAGGTCCTTTTCCTTTTCCACCTGGAGAAGAATGTCCCATAGGCTGTCCCTGCCAGCCAAGCAGTGCACCCTGCAGCATCCTGATTCCTGACCCACCTGGGTGCTGACACCTCGCTGTCCCTCATCCTCTGCCCCCCGGGCTCCTCGCAGCCTCTCCTCCTCCTGTCCTTGGAGCAGTTTCACAGCCTCCGCACCGTGCTCCTCCCCCAGCGCTGCCTGCTCCTTGCCGGCTCCATTGGCTGCAAAACAAACGGGGCTGAAACCGGGCACATCCTGCTGTGTCAGCCCCTCCGTGCTCTTCGGGACAAATCCCTCCTCCCAACACACTCAGTGCAAATTAGCACTAATTGGGATGACGTTAGCAGGCTCTGAGAGGAGGCAACCCCAGTGCCTCCTACCCTGGGGGTGGCCGATCTGTCCAAGATGATGGGATGCCACTAAGACACCATTGGGATGCCACTGGGATTTCATTGTCCCTTCCTGTGCTGGAGCTGGGGCATCACCCCGAGCCTCCATCAGCCTTGTGGGGACTGTTTTACTGCTTTTGTAGCAATGCTACGGAGTGAGTGCATCGATGGAGACAGACATTTCCTTCTCACCATTCTCTGTCCTCCAGGCGCTGAGCTCCTGGCCAGGTGCTCCCTGCTGTTGCTGGCCTTTCTGCTGCCTCTGACCAAGAAAAACATGATATGCACAATAGGATGGGGCAGCAAAACTTTTGTCTGAGTCCCTTCCACCCTCCTCCATCCCAACTTCCCTGGGATGCACCGTGACCAAATACAAATCCCATTAGGTAGCCTGGCTGGAGAAAAAAGCAAAGCAAAGCAAACAGGCGGTGCTGCTCCGTTCCCTGGCTGCCCCTCTTTTGCAGCTGCAGGGAAGTGCGCTGCCAGAGAGCCAGGAACGCTGAGCCTCTGGGAAGCCCCGACTGCATCTGCCCTTCTATGGTGTTGGTGGAGGCAGCCGGGATTCGCTGTGTCTGTGTGCAGTGAGTGCAGCTTGCTGAGGTCGGGCTCTTCCCCGTCTGCAGCACAACTCCAGCCCCGAGCTGCTCCTTCAGGACATTGAGAATGGGAAATGGGGATTTAAGAGCCAGGCACGCCTGCCAAAGGGTTCCTTGTGCCTGAGACTCAGCTGCGGGAAGGGTGCAAGGTGGAAATGCCACAGCATGTTCTGTGCCTTGCATGGCTGCACAATGGTCATGGAGGCCTTTGGGGACACCTTCCAGAAGTAGGTCTTAGATGTAAGCACAATGAAGGCAAGATTGTGCGAGGGCATGGCCATGGCACGGCCAGGGGGATGCAGCCCAGGGCTCAAAGCACCACAAAGGTGATGCCCAGGGACCGGCTGTGCATAGACCATGTCCCCAGCATGGCTCTGGGGCACTTTTCCCTCCCTTCTGTGCCCACATTCAGTGGAATGGAGCCTCAGAGCCTCTTTGCTGCCCATCAAGTTGGGTTTCAGGCAACTGCATCAGCTCTGAAACCACTGCCTGGGGTGAGAAGTGTGTCAGCTTCGCCAGATCTGAATACCTGCCCTAAGGCTGCAGGTGACAGCACCTCTGGGAGCAATTAAAAGAGTGTCTGCAGCTCAATGAGCTCTTGAGTGCTCCTCTATCTTGGAGGAGAGCTTCACCACAAAAACCAGAACCAACTGGCTGAAAGCTAAACATGTGTACAGCAGCCCCAGAGCTGCTCTGGCTGCAGTGGGGTTTGCATTGGGACACAGAATGTCCTGCAGGTGCTGCTGTTCTGGTTCTGTGATGTTTCAGCATGAAGACGTTTGGAGAAGCATTCAGGTTTGGAGAGGCTCATGCCAAAACCACCCCCTAGCTTAAAACGAAATTAAAACATATATGTATATACCCAAATTCTTACAACAAAATATTTCTAATGGTATGGAGCAGACACTGTTCGGGGTCAGTTCTGAGCAGTTTCCCCCTGAACCTGCAGCACCTCGAGGTGTGCACCCATGCGCCTGCAGGCAGTTGTGGGCCTCTGCCTCAGCTCTCAGTGCTTTTATGCACTGTGTTTTCTTCCTCTTCTCCTGCTTTACACGAAGCAACGAAACTACGCAACGTTGTGGTAAGCAAATGAAATCACACAGGGGCAGGAAATGAACATTCAAATCCCAGTTGGGCTGCTGGGTATTGCTTAGTGGCTGTGGAGAGGGGGGACGGGATTTGGCTGATAGCCCTAAAGCACCTCCCTGGGTCTCAGCAGATGCCCAGTGCAGGGTACGTGGGACCTGCATTCTGCTGCTCTCCTGCAGTGGTTGTTTCAGGGTTATTCTCACCCCTGTACAGTCGGATCCGCCGCCGACAGCCCCACGTTTTGCATTCTGACCTTCCCCTGCCTCCCGCTGCTACATATAGTTCCTATATCTCCAAAACAAACTCACCCCAGCCCTGGAAAGCATCCAAGCCTCAGCCCTGATCTCTCTGAAAGGCATCCAACCAAGCAGTGAGCACGCATGGAGGGGAAGGGGCCCCCAGAGCCGGGCTCCCACCTGCCCCCACTGCCTTATCACAGAATCACTGAATTGTAGGGTTATCAGTCACTGCTGCTGGGGAGGATGTGGCTGCCCAGCAATGCCTCCCCCGGCTGCTGCTGCACCCTAAGGTCACCTCTGCCATGGGGCCAGTCACATCCCCCCGTGGGGACCCCTCTGTCCTGGGGGTTTCTGGGGTCCCCTGCCCCAAGGGATGTGCTTCAAAGCAGGTCCATCAGCAGTGGGAGGGTGGCGGTCTCACACCACACGCTGTGGTGCCCTGGGCAGGATGACATGGGTGGCGGTGCTGTGTGCCTTCCTTTACCTCTTTTGGCCATAAAGGGGATTTTTGGTGCTGCTTTCGGAATTAATGCACCTAAGTCATAGCAGCGGGGACGTTGTGTGGGGTGCAAACTGCAGCAAGCCGAGCGGATGAACAGAAGAGTTAAGAGAGCGGGTGCAGGAAGGGAGGTGTCTGCAGACTGAAATTTCCGCATTTCGGTACATGTGTGCCTCTAAGCACCTGGGGCCGTGGGGCTGTGGGTTCTCCTGCCCCGTGCCCCCTTCCTGCAAGCTCTCAGCATCACCAACCAGCCCAGAAGCATCTGGTCTCATGACACAGACAAGAGCGGTTTTTTCCATGATACAGAGAAGCAGCCAAGCTCTCAAGTGCTGTAAATAAGACACTTGCTGGCTGCGGGGCCATGCCCACAACCCCCACACACCCTGCAGTGTTTCAGCTGTGTGTTCCCACTGCCCCCCTGCACAGGGCCATGGGGGCACTGCGGGGCTGTGCCAACTTCCTTGCTGCCCATCCAGCACCCATCGACAGCGGCACGCAGCACATCCAACTCACAAACAGCCCTGAGGCCAATGGTGGGGGGTAAAGGAGTGTGAGCGTGGCAAAAAGAAAAGGATGATAATGTCTGGGGTTTAACTTGCAGAAGGTCTCACCCCTGCACTGGAGGACTCAGAGCATTTCGCTGCAAAAGTGTAACTTTGGGCAGGATGGGTACATTGGAACAAGGCTGGGGAGGGGGGGAACCACTTGTGGGACATGGGGGGATGCTATAGGAGGATGGCAAGCAACAAGCTGGGGATGAATCCTATGTGGAATAAGCACTTCTAACACCATTACCCTGATGCTGCAACCCCTTGATATGAGCTTCCACGTGCTGTGGGGCTTCTCCCCCACGCGGGTGCAGCAAGGCAGGTGGCTGCTCTGGGACCGGGACCTCCGGGATCACCCTCAACAGCACAGCAAAGTGGGGCTCCCCGCCACCCTAACCCCACAGCAAACCCCAACTCCACGCAAACCCCAACCCCGCGCAAACCAAACTCCGCGCAAACTCCCAGCCCCTACCCAAACCGCATCTCCCCGCCAGCTCCCACCTCCCTCAAACCCTCACCCCACGAACCCCCAGCCCTGCTCCCGGCAGACCCGGCTCCACTACCTTGCCGCCGGAGGGGCAGCAGCGCAGGGCGCTGCCGGAGCCGCCCATGGAAGCCCGGAGGCGCTCAGGCTCGGGGCGCGGGGCGCGCCGTCATCCCCCGACGGACGGGCGGCGGCTTCCGCGGAGAGCGGCGGCACCGGAGGGGACGGGACGGGTCGGGTCGGGACGAGCCTCCCCAGCTGGGAAGGCAGAAGGGGGAAAAAAAAAATAATAAAATAATTAATAAAGTTTCCGAATCGCCGTGGCTGCTCGCAGACGGCGCCGGGAGAGGGTGCTCTGCACCCCCAGCAGCGGGCAGCCCCCTCTCCCCCCCCCCACCGCAGCTGCTTGCCCGCCCCCGGGGCTGTCCCTGGGTGCACAGCGGGGACGATCCGGCCCGGTACACCCCCTCCCCCACCGCTCTCCGTGTGCTCGGGGTGCACCGACGTGGGTGGGGACCCTGCGCGGGGCTGAGGTGCGGAAGAAGCTGGGGAGGGGAACCCTTGAGGAAGAGATGGGTTGGGGTTAGGATTAGCGCTTACTGTGGGGTACTTGGGGGAAGGTGCTGGTTTGGGAGAGGTTTTGTTCTGCTCCGGGGGGGCTGTGCTTTCAGTGTTGTCTGCAGTGCCTAGGGGGGCTGTGTCCTGCTCACCCCCCTCCTCAGCACCCCAATTGCCCCCTGGGTTGGGGGCAGAGTGCCATGATTCAAGCAGGAAATCCTGTGGTTTGGTAATGGGCTCTGAACAGGAGGAGTTGGAGTGTCCTGTCTCACAACTGCTGCCAAAGAGGGCAGGTTCCTCTGCACTTTTTGGTTGTGATGATTTTTTTAAAAGGCTCTAAAATAAATAGAAAGGAAATGGAGAGAGAAAAGGAAAGGGAAAGGGGAAACAGAGTGGGAAAGGGAAAATAAAGGGAAAAGGAAAGAAAAAGAAAAAATAGAAAGGGAAAAGAAGAGAAAAAAAAAAAAGAAAGAAGAGTCCGGATCTGAAAAAACAAAACAAAACAAAACAACTTCATATCCAGCACTGCTGAAATAAATGTCCCAACCCGATCACAAGGCAGTGTCTGTATGGAAACACTGCCAGTTTTTGTCAACAAGTTTCTATTCTGACACTGTCCAAACAGCCCCTGGGAGCCGTCCCAGCGCAGGAGGTGACGGAGGTGCTGGAGGTGCTGGAGGTGCTCCGTCACTGCGCTGCCAGGCGGTGTTCCTGGTAACCCTGCTTGGTGGGAACACCTCTCTTCCAAGTGGGGTTGTGAAATGTCACTGGGATCAGAGGGTGGGGACCAGTGGGACCAGATGCCGTGTCCTCCCTGGGTAGATGCTGCTTCACCTGGGTGAAGTTTGTGAGTCAGAGCTGCTTCCTGGCATCTGTCCTATGGTTGGAACCACCAGGAGCGTCCCTGCTCTTATCTCCCCACAGCAACGCACCGGGCAGGTCTCCATCCCCATGGAGAGCACTTATTTGGCAGGCCGAGCAGATTGCAGCTGGGATAAAAGGCTGTGAGGAGCCGGTCTCCACTTCTCTGGGGTTAGTTAAAAATCCTGGTCCAGATTTCAGATGTGAGCACAAAAGGATGGGTGTATTTTGGGGCTGAAGTCGCATTGCTGGAACAGAAGCAGCTGTGCATGCACGCAGCTGAGTGTCCAGCTGGCATCATGCCTTGCACACATGCTGTTGGGAACTTGGGGTGGTTGTGGGGTGCAGAGGGGTTGTGCTGTGATGTCCCTGTGGTGCAGAGCTTGGCTGTAGATGGGGCTTCTCTTGGCTGTGGAAGCACTGCAGGAGATGTGGGGGTAGAGCTGGGGCTTGGGAAGGGGTCCATGCATTGTGACCAGCCCTAGCACCCTGCTTCTGTAGCCCTGTATGACCCTGCACTCAGTGTCTGGGCTGCCCCAAAGCTCTTTGATTTTAACTTCATTTTTAGCAATTTCTCCATTTCTCCAATCTTTCCTGTGTGGGCTGCATGGGATGTCCCTGCTGGAGGTTTCCCTGTCAGTCCTGCCGCCTCTGCCCCTCCCCTCAGCCCCTAAGCATGATTTGCTCCCTTTGTTCTGGAGCTGGTCCCAATGCCTTTTTACCACTGAACACCTTTCCAGCTGGGCTCTGGGTGATGGCAGGACAGAATCAATGCGATGTCCCCCTGCTGACTGCAGATGGCATTTAAGGGTCTTTCTGACTCCAATGGTTCTGTGATTTCTATGAATGGATGTTCCCAGGAATGGTGGCACCTGGAGACATCTCAAGGGCTTCGCCTGGAAAAGTGAACTTGGGCAGGTTTGTCTCACACTCAGCTGAATTCCAGTAAGCAGGACGCCTGCTGACCCAGTGCGGAGTTAATTTGTACCAATGGTGCTTTCAAGTGTTTGCCTAAGCTGATTGATAAGAGAAGCACTTACGCAAGCTGCTGAAGTGCCCCGGCTCTCCCTCCAGCCTCACTGTGGTGGGGTTGGTGTAGGGGGTGCCAGCATTGGATTTTTTCACCTGGAGCCCTGGTGGGGTTTGTGCTTGCGCCCTTTGGCCCTCATGCTTTGCTCAGGGATTGCTGCTGTAAACAAGCCATGAAGTCACCATCTCTGCTGCCCATCAGTCGGCTGCTTCGTTTCTATGCAAATCAAAGATGTTTGGCCAGAACTGTGCAGACCTCGTGACTCTCGGGTGGGAGAGCTCTGCAGCTCCGTCTGAGATGGGGCCCTGAAAGCATCTCCTTCTGCGTGGATCTGGGTCACACCTGCTTCTGCCCTGGGGAAAAAAGCAGTGATTCCACAGCATTCCTGCCTCTGTGAATTTCCTACCAGATAGATGTGCTTAACTTGCCATTAGAACACTTTCTTCTCTTTTTGTTGTTGGTGTTCTTGTTTCACATAGAAAAACAAAGTGGGGAAAGGATGGGGATGGAGGTCGAAACCTCCTGCCATGGAAACTAAGGGACACGGGGCAGAGGCTCAAGCACAGCCGTGCCCACACCTCTCCCCATGCATCCCCATCCCTGTTGCTGTGCACAGGGGCCCCCACAGTGAAAACCAATCCTGGGGATAACTTCCCCCCTACCCCCCTCCCACCCAGGAGGAGGAGGGCAAGCAGGAATGGGGCTATTTATTCCCAGCCCTTAAGTCAGAGCGGGGGGGATCAGTGACAGTTGTCGTCGATGGTGGGAGCAGCATCCATCCATCCCTGCACGCTCCCTGCGTGCTGCCAGCCGGCCGCGCTGCTAAATAAGGATGGAAAGCTAAAAATAGAGCCCAGCAGGGGCTGGGATGAGCCCAGGGCTAGGAGCAGTGCGGGGAGGTCAGAGGGTGTCTGCATAAGGGGGAGGGGGGGGGGCGAAACGGCTGAGAGCGGCCTCACTCGCATCCCCCCTGCCCACCCCTGGTCCCGCTGCCAATGGGGGGAGGCAGAACAGCTGGGGAGCGGCACCCGGAGGGGGAGGAGTGGGACGGGGCGGGGGGGTTAAATGCTGAAATGATGGGCAGGGGGCGGTGGGTGGCAAACCGTCCAGCTGCGTGCTCCCACCCCACTGCAGCACGCACGGCATCGGGTTCTGACAGCTCCGCTGCCGGGGATTTGGGGGCTGCGCCGTGCGGGGTGGGAGCGGCCCCAGCGCACGGCTGTGGGGGTTGGGGTCGGGGGGAGCTGAATGTCCCCCCTCCACACCCCCCCCTTGCTGCCTGGGAACCGCTTCCCGTCCCAGCATCCCCGCACTCCAGTCCTGCTCTTTGCAAAATAAAAGAATAAAACCAACCCACACAAGGGAGGAATTAAAAAAAAAAAAAAAAAAAAAAAAAAAAAAGGAGGGCAGGACAGTGTGTGAGCACGCACGGGCGGAGGGAGGGGAATCAGGAGATGGGCCGGGCGAACAGATAGCAGAGGGCAACCCAGCACTGCGCTGCCAGCCGCTCTGCTTTCCTTCTCGCTCTCCTCCCGCATTGCCCCCCGTTCCCCCCCCGGACGATGCTGTTGGCGGGGCTGTTCCTGGCGCTCTGCGCGCTGTCGCTGTGCCCGGCGGTGCTCGGCGCTGCGCGGCCGCAGCTGCTGGTGGAGAGGAGCGGCTCCAGGATGCTGCGGGAGGTGAGACGGACCGGCCCTGCTTCGCTGCTGCGGGGAGAGGGGACGTGGGGGGGGAGAGAGGGGAGGCTGCGGGGTGAAGGGGGAACCCACAGACACCCCTACGCCTCGGGGATAGGGCTGCAGCTTCGGGCTCGGCCTCATCCCATCTTCCAGCGGAGAGGAATGTCAGTGTGGCCCCATCCCTTCGGCCGGAGCCCGGCGGCCTCCTCTCGCTCGGCTCTATCCATCCCTTCTGTGCGCCTTCCCAGTGCGCAGCCCTGCTTCCCACACAGAACCGACACGCAGAGGGAAACACTTAGGCGGCTTTGAGGAACCTCTGCGTGACTTTCACATGGTGTGGAGGGAAAGATCTCTTTTTTGTTTTCCTGAGAAGCCGATGTCGCTTGGGGAGAGGGTCGGCAGGTCGGATGGGGTGCTGAGAAGCAGCAGGACGGGCTGTGCACAGCCGCACGCACCCACGTTGTGCCGTTCCCCTGCCGTGGAGCCTCTCTGCCTGCAGACCCGCGGGTGGGGAGGAGCAGGGGCTCAGGGCTCTTGCAAAAGTCGGGATGTGCTGCTGCCCCATGCCCCAGCTTGCCCTGTACACAGACTGTGTGGGCAGTGGTGCCGTTGGGGCAGCACACGGCCTCACCAGGACACAGAGCCCTGGAAAGTCACACAGCCTCACCAGGACATACAGCCACCACCAGTTCCAGGGCAGCCACAGCCAAGCTTGCTCAGGGTGCACAGCCCAGACATCCTCCCATCTCAGCCCCAGCTGATTTTCCCTCTGTGGTTTCCATACCCCCTCTGCTCTACCGGCTCTCCCAGTCCTGGAAGCTGGGACTGCCCAAGGTGCAGCCAGTGGGGCAAGAGCTGCTGGCACTGCTGGCACCGAACACCTCTTCACATTTTGCATTCCAAGCCCCCAGCCCACCGAGCTGCTCAGCAGGGCATGCAGGCTGCGTCCTCCACCTGAGTGACGTCCCATGGGTTTCCATTTCCCCACGGGACTTGCCAGGCTCCTTCAGCCGCTCGCCGAACTGGCTCAGCATTAGAGCCACGAGGTGTCTGGAGGAGCAGTGAGCAGCAGGATGAGTCAGGCCAGGCAGCCTCCCCCGAGCACCAGAGAGTATGGGAATATTAAACCCCATTTGAAGTGCAAAGTGTGAACCAATTCCCAGGACGGAGCTCGCCTGGGGGTTGCTCCAACCCCAGCACCCCGAGAGCATGCAGCTCCTGCTGCTTTTGCTTTCACAGCTCCTGCTCTGTGACTGGAGCTGGCGTGAAAAATAATGTTCACCTTCTTTGCATGCAAAGTGTTTCCAGGCTGGGGTGGAAATCGCAGCCTGGAAACGCTGTTTTGGAGAAAATGAGCACAAAGGGGGGTTGTTATAATTGCTTGCTGATGGAGAGTTCCTGAAACGTCCCGGGGCTCACAGAGTTGGAAGTTTGAGAAGCATAGGGGGTAAATGTCACTGGATTTTTTGGGGTGGATGAAGGTCATCTGTTCATGATAAGCCCCCCCATAAATCCAGGGCAAAGTTTAGGATCTGCCTCTCCTGGTGCTGCAGGTTGGTGGCTTTTCCTGGGAGGACTGTGGTAACGGGCGGGATCCCGTCGTGCTCCAGAGCCTCTCGGTGGCACCCGACCCCATCAGCATCCCAGGGACCCTGCGCATCAGCGCGGCCGCGAGCAGCAGCAAGGCCATGACCTCCCCCCTGAAGGTGGGTACAGGAATGAGGGAAGGTAGCAAGCTTCACAGCCTCCCTGGGAGCTGGGAAATGCCCGGGGATGGGGATGGGAACGAGCAGTCCTTGGGGCGTCAGGGGCACGGTGCCCCCTCCCGGCCAGATGTATGGGGCAGTGAGAAGTTTGCTCAGGGGATTAGGATGGAGGAGGAGGAACCAATGGGATGAGAGAAACTGAAAGCAGAATTAGGGCTCCCATAAGGTTCCGTAGGTCAGGAGGGGAAGGGCTGGGTGCACACTGCGCTTTCTTACAGGCGGTGCTGGTGGTGGAGAAGGCCTTGGGAGACCTCTGGATTCAACTGCCCTGCATCGACCAGCTGGGCAGCTGCACCTATGATGATGTGTGCGCCGTCCTCGACGACCTCATCCCACCTGGCACGCCCTGCCCGGAGCCGCTGCTCACCTACGGCATCCCCTGCCACTGCCCCTTCAAGGCGGTACGTCCCACAGCCAGGTGCCCTCAGTGCTGTAGGGTCGGTGTTGGCTCACGCAGCCCCTCTCTCTGCAGGGCTCCTACTCACTGCCTGCCAGCGACTTTGCCCTGCCTGACATCGAGCTGCCCTCCTGGATGACCAACGGCAACTACCGCGTGCGGGCGGTGGTCAGCAACAAGGGGCAGGAACTTGCCTGTGTCAAGCTGGGTTTCTCCCTGCAGTCCCAGTGAGGGGCTGGGGGCATCCCTCCTCTCCCCACTGCCTTTTTAATTCATCTCATCCCACCCTTCCCCAACCCAACCCATCCTCATCCCTTCTCCATCCCATCCTCATCCCTTCTCCATCCCATCCTCATCCCTTCTCCATCCCATTCCATGTCCATCCCGCATCTGCTGCCCTGTCTGCACATACCTCCACCACCCTGTCCCTCCCTGTGGTCCCAAACTGACACTTGAAGCAGGAGAGGAAAGCTCAGGAGCTTTGCCCAGCCCCAGCAGTACCTGCAGGGTCAAAGACTGCTGCCAGGAGGAGGTCCCCCATTGCACCCACTTGGTGAACCCTCTCCTGCCAAACACAAAAGGTCTCTCCTTGCTGTCCCTCTGTCTCTAACCCCACCACCAGTGTCCCCAGCCTGTTACGGGGTGGCTTTTTGGGGTAACAATTTTTTACTCTCTTACCCCCCCCTTTTTTTTTTTAACTTTTCTTAATCCCATCAAGGGAGTTTCAGACAAAAACATTCCAGGGAAAAGCACTATTTCTTGAAGGAGAAAAGGAGGGAACATGTGAGGAATGCAGGGGCTGGAGGGGTGCAGGGTGAGCTGTGCAGGCGTCCACACCCACCTCTACTGAAGCACAGATGCAGATCCCCCTCATCTCATTTTGCTCACCGAGTTGGGGCAGGGTGCTGCACTCCAGCACAGGAACAGCAGCCCAGGTCCTATCTGGGGACCCCTTGGCCTGGCTGACACCTTTGTGACCCCTCCCTCATGCTTGTATCAGCTCTGCAGATGCAGGTGGCCCATCACCACCACATCCATCACTCCCTGCCCACCACCTTATAGGGTTGCTCTTCCTCCCGGTGCTGTGTGTGCCTTAATTCCAGCATGGAGCAGTGGGAGGTACTTTGCCTGCAGCTGTTCTCCCTGTGCTCTGTGCCCCAAGCTCTTCTCATCTCACTCTGGTGCAGCATGGGGTCATTCTGCTTGGAGAAGAGCTCACCCTCCCACCGTGCTCCTGCTGCTTCCCTGCTCACAGCCCGTGCCCCAATGGCACCCTCCTTTCAGGCAGGTTCTTAATAAATCTTTTTACCAGAAAGTGGAGCTGGTGCCTTGTGGTGCTGGGGGGGGGGGCAGAGGCTGGGATGAAATGGAGGTGGTGTGGGTATGAGTGCTGTGTGGAGGCAATGAGTTGGGTGCTGTAGACTGACTACGGGGCCAACTGCTGTGCTAGGGTGGCAGTGGGGGGAGGCATGCTGGAGGGACACAGTGGTGGGACATACTGGAGGGACATACTGGTGGGTCATACTGGTAGGACTTGCTTGTTCAGTGGGGCACTGGTGGGTCATACTGGTAGGACACAGTGGTGGGACATGCTGGCAGGACATACTGGTGGGTCATGCTAGTGAGAGAGGCTGGTGGAACACACTAATGGGACGTCCTTGTGGGAAACCTTGATGGAATACACCAGCGGGGCATGTTGGAGTGGTACACTGGTGAGACGTGTTGGAGGGACACTCTGGCAGGGCACAGTGGTGGGATCCACTGGTGGGGCACACTGGTGAGACATATTGGTAGGACACACTGGTGGAACACGTTGGACTGGTACGCTGATGGACCATACTGGTGGGACACCCTGCTAGGCCGTACTGGTGGGACACGCTGCAGTAACACGCTGCTCACGCCAGAGGGCGCTCCAAGCCCCGCGCCCATCCCCGCAGTTCCGGACTGCCGCTCCGCCGCACGCCCACGAGGGGGCGCCGTAACTCTCAGCTCGCCCCGCTCCTCCCTTTTTGCCTTCACTTCTCCCCGTGCGCATGCGCTGGCCGGGCACGGTCAGCTGAGCGGGCTGTCACGTGACGGCGCGGCCGAAGGAGCGGGGCCGGCCGGCCGGGGCGGCGGCGAGGTGCGGGGCCGGGGTCGGGCGGGGCGGGGGCAGCAGCGGCAGCGGCAGCAGCAGCAGCAGCTTATGGGGCCCGGGGTGATTGACAGCTGGTGGGGAAACGGCCTGCGGGTGAGGCCAGCTGTGAGCTGCCTCTGGCCGCGAGGCGATGATCTCCGCTGCGCGTGGAGCAGAAACACGCGTGGAAGCGGCGCGCTGCTGGGCGATGCCCGAGCAGCCGGGCGGGCTGGGGAGCGGGGAACGGGGATGCGGGGGGTGCGCGGGAGGGGGTGAAGTTGGTTATCTGGGACGGGTGGCCCCTCCCGCGTCGCTGCTCGCCCGCCGCCGATGACGAACAGCTCCCTGTGTAAACTCCGGCCGCAGTCCTCACCTGCTCGCATCGCCTGGCTGGCCCTGGGCACCGTGACGTGGCCGCGCCGTGATTTATGGCGTTGCCGGGTTGCTCTGAGCCCGGCGGTGCTGCTGCACGGGCCGGTTGCTGCACGCTGCTCCGGCCGCGGGCGGAGCGGTGATGCTGGGTTGCAGCGCTGAGGAGCGGCAGGTGGTTGGGTTTGCGGTGCTGATGGGCTCTGAGCTGTGCTGCCCTTTGGGGACCCTTGGGGTGGTGGCACCGAGGGGTGCTCGCTGCTTGCTGCCCCCTTTGGCCTGGGGACAAACTTGTCCCCGTGTCCCGGAGTGTCCTTTAGAACCCGGATGGGGGCTGAAGGAGGGAGTAGGAGAAGTGAAATTGTGCAGGGAAGGTCAGGAGGATTGGGGCTATGGAAGCACACCTGTGGTGCAGGATGTGGGCCATTTCCTCGTGGCTGTCTGCAAAGGGACACCCCGTGGGTGTGCTTATAACGGGGCAGCAGCCCAGGGTAAAGTGCTTGGGACTTTTGACCTGGGGCCACGTGGCTAGCAGCCGGGGCGGGCACACTGCCCTATAAATGCCAGCTGTGCTGCCAGCTGCACTACCAGCAGTCAGTCCCTCCTGCCATGGCTGATGTCAAAGAGCCCGCGGTGGCAGAGCCAGCTGTCCCCATGGAGCCCCGTGTCCCCATGGAGCCTGGTGTCCCCACAGGGCCGGATGTCCCTGCTGATGCTGCTCCATCCTCAGGGGCCATGTCCACTCGACGGCTGCGCAGCGAGGACTACAATGACTACAGCTCTACTGATGTGACCCCGGAGGGCAGCCCGCCTGCAGGCATCAATGGCTTCGCACGGCCCGAGTCCTACCAGCGCTTTGGGGAGAGCAATGGGACCACGTGAGTGCCCACCTGGGGTGGGGAAGAGCTGGGGTCTGCATCCTGCAGGGTAAGAGAGGTGATCCTGCCCCTCTGTGCTGGTGGGGCTTCATTTGGAGTGTTGTATCCAGATATGGAGCTCTCGGTGCAGGAGAGACGTGGTCCTGTTGGAGTGTGTCCAGAGGAGAGTCCCAAAAATCCTGCAAGGATGGGCTGAGAGCTGGGGCTGTGATTCTATGATCCCTTCACCTTCTGTTCCTCAGGTGGTACCAGACCCTGATCCATCTCCTGAAGGGGAACATTGGCACCGGGCTGCTGGGGCTGCCCCTGGCTCTGAAGAATGCTGGCATCCTGGTAAGCAGCTCCTCACCTTGTGGCAATGGGGTTATTGTGTGCTCCCCATGCTATGCTCTGCATGTAAATAGAAAGGATTAAATAGACCAGAAAACCTTTTTCTTTTATCCAGCTTATGCTCCCTTTGTTACCTTTGTAATAGCAGAGCACGAGATAGTTGGAAAAAGAGTTCAATATTGGTGTTTTGCTACATCCTAACTGCCACAACATGCTTGTTCTTCACATATCTGGGACTTCCTGTGGGATTATTCTCCCCTCTCTTCCCTGCAGCTGGGTCCCCTGAGCCTGCTGGTGATGGGTGTTGTGGCTGTGCACTGCATGAGCATCCTGGTGAAATGCGCCCACCACTTCTGCTACAGGTAAGGAGCAGCACCTGTCCTCCCACAGCTCTTCCATCCTTCCTTCTGGCCCCTGGGGTTTCCCTGGGGCCTCCCAGCAGCAGGCTGCCCACGTGAAGCCTCAACCAGCAGTTGTTTTTGGGGCTTTATCACCAGCTGTTTACCCATGAGTGCCACCATGGGGGCCAGCAAGTGGAACTGAGGTGATATCCCTTTTTTCTCTCTCCCAGGTTCCAGAAGCAGTTTTTGGACTACGGGGGGACTGTGATGTATGGGCTGGAGTCAACACCCATTGCCTGGTTGAGGACACATGCTGTCTGGGGAAGGTACTGCTGCCCCCAGGGCAGGGCTTGGCTGTAACTGATGTTGGGGCAGTGCTGGCAAACAGCACCAGGAAAAGAGGAGGGTAACACTGGGATCTTTCACTTAGGCAGATGAATCTTAAGGGACGTGCTCTTACTTCAGTATAGTACTGAAAGGGTGGGAGAAGCATCTGCAGTGTTGGGAGTATGAGAGATAATGGTCTCACATTGTGCCAGGGGAGGTTCAGGCTGCAGTTTAAGAAACATTTGTCAGAAAGAGCAGTGATGCAGTGGCACTGCTGCCCAGGGAGGTTGTGGGGTCACCATCCCTGGAGGTGTTTGAGAACCACAGAGATGTGGCACTGAGGGATGTAGTTATGGGCACAGTGGGGGTGGGCTGGGGTTGAAATTGGGGATCTTAGGTGTCTGTTCCATCCTTAATGATTCTGTGAGTCTCTGATTAAAAATGAAGGAATAATGCATGTGGCAATGTTGGCTGGTGCTGACCCCACTGAGGGATGGGAGTGGGGATGGGGGAGCCCAAGGTCTGTGGGGCTGGTTGGGGTTTCGTTCACTTTTCCAAGCATGGAAGAGAAGTGACCTGCACATCCCAGCCTTTGAGGAACGGAGTGTTGTAGCTGAGTTTGAGCTAACCCAGCTGTGCCCCTATTTCTGAATGGCCCCTTTACTGAGTGCTCTTTTCCTTTCCTAGGCGTGTGGTGGGACTCTTTCTGATCCTCACTCAGCTGGGTTTCTGCTGTGTGTACTTTGTCTTTCTGGCTGACAATCTGAGGCAGGTGAGGCTCCCGCTGTTTCCCAACCCTTCCCTCAACAAAGCTCTGGTTTCTGTGATGGGTGCTGCTTTGGAAGATACAAATCCTATACCTGAGCAGTTCATGCCCTACAATTTTGTGAGGATGGCTTGGAGCTGCCTGTATTGGCCAAGAGGAGCAGAGGCTCCTTCCTGGGAGGGGATGCAGGAATGGGGTCACAGAGGAAGCATTGTGCTTCTGATGTGCTGCCCAGCACGCTAATTGCCTTATCGATACTCCGTATGGACAGCAGTGCACAGTGGCATGGCATGAATCTCTCTTGGTCTTGTTTGCGTTCCATTTTTTTGCCTCATCCTGTGGCCCTGGAGCTTAATTACAGGTTGTGTTGGAAGAGTTTCCTTCTGCCAAGCATTGGGAGAAAATAAACAGAAACCCTGAACCTGCCTGGCTCCTGTGCTGCAGGAAGCTGCCAGTACATCAGTCCTTGTTCACAGCCCCTGTATGGCTCGGTGCTTTGCAGATGATGCTGATCATCACTCCCCCTGTGTGCTTCTACAGTCACAGTCAGGTTTCTCCCACCACAGCTGTGCCCTTTGCCTCTTTACATGGGGCTGGGTGCAGTACTGTCAGTGATGGGGGGTGGGCAGCACGCCTGTGCTCTGGGGAGGTTCAGCCACACAGTTCCTGGGGCAGAGCCCTCTGTGGAGCTGAGAACATGGCCTGGAGCACCTGTGGGGTGAAAGAGCCTAAGGGAAGGATGAATGACTTCTATTGGGAAAAGCAGAGTTAGTCTGCTTGGCCTGGGGTGGGCTTCCAACATCCATCACCATGGGATTCATCAGGCATTCCTGTGCTTTCCCAGGTTGTATCCTCTGCCAACAGCACCACCACTGACTGCCAGTCCAACAGGACGGTGACCCTCACACCTACCATGGACTCCCGGCTCTACATGCTGTCCCTGCTGCCTTTTGTGGTGCTGCTGTCATTCATCCAGAATCTCAAGGTCCTGTCCATCTTTTCCATGCTGGCCAACGTGGCCATGCTCATCAGCCTTGTTGTGATCTACCAGTACATTGTCAGGGTACGTTGTGCTGCCCTGTGTGTTGGCAGAGCTTGGTGGTGGAGTTGGGGTGGTGATGTTGTGTAGTGGCCTTTCCCTCTGCCCCATGGGGAAGGGAGCTGTGGGGATGAGCTGTGCTCTGAGCTGCATGTGGGCTGTTTTCCAGGACATCCCCGATCCCAGCACCCTGCCTCTCGCTGCAGCCTGGAAGACCTACCCTCTGTTTTTTGGCACAGCCATCTTTGCTTTTGAAGGCATCGGGGTGGTAAGTCCTGGTGTGTGGCTCAGCCCCCGCTCGGGCTTGCAGTCAGCACCTGCTCTGCACCACAGCTGTATTTGCAGATGGATTTTTCAGGTTGTAGCCCAGCTTCTGGGTGATGCTGTTGGCCCCAGGCTGTCTCCTGGGTCAAACTTCATTGCGTGTGCTCCAAACCTCAGGTGGGTGCTGTGAGCTGGGCTCTCCAGGAGCTTCACAAAGCCTTAGGCTCTGCGATTAGAGCCAGATTGTGGCTGGGGGCAAAAGCATAGCACAGCAACATATGATCCATTCCCCTTTCTGCTGGCATCACCTTCCTTCAGCCACGCAGCCCCAGCCCACACAGTGCCAGCTTGACATGTGCCTTGTGTATGAGGCTGTAAACGTATGCATCCCATCTCTGGCTGGTCTGCGCCGCACTGAGCGAGTTGTCTTGGGCTGCACATAAAGTACACACCATATAGTTAATGTATATAAGTAGGAAAGCTCTTTTTATTTCTTTATAATTTTTATTTAAACATAAAAAAGGGAAAGAGGGCAACAAAAAGATAAAAGGAGCGGGTTGGCTGCATCTGCTGTAAACAGAGGAGCTGGGAAGGAGGCGGGGTGGGTGGGAAGCATAATGGCCCACTGAGATGCTGCGGGTTGTTTCCGGAGCTCCCTTCAAAGAAGGAAGAAGTGTTTTCATCTCATAATAGGAGATAGCAGTGTAAACATGGGGCTGCAGCGTGCCAGGTCCCTGCAGGAGGGGCATTTGCAGAGTGCTGTGCCCAGGACAGAGGGCTCGTGCTAGAGTATGGCGCACACACACACACACACACACATATGCACAGCTGGGAGGTGGAGCAGCACATAAAACCTATTCTGATCCTGCTGCATCAGCACTGTGTCCCTGTCTCTTTCCTTGAAATGCCCACTACCCAAGGACGGCTATAAAAGAAAATATATATATATAGTTGCTGAAATACTTGAAGCAAATAGCAGTATAAAGACAGAGGGTTGTCCCTGCTCTTTTTTTTTATCCCCTTTTTTTATTGCCTTACCTGTTTGCAATCTGCCCATACATACTTGCAGGGTGAGGAAAAAGGGTTTCAGCCTTTTCAGTCTTTGCTGTGAGTAATAGCTGTAAAGCACTGTCCCACTGGGCTGGGAGCAGAGGATTCACATCTCTGGGGCAGCAGCTGGTGGGGTCTCCAGATTCCTTGCATGGCCCTGCGTGCTGGGCATGGCCCTGGTTGCAGAGTGCAGCCCTCAGCCCCATGGTTGCCCTGCAGGGCTGGGAATGCAAGGAATGGGGAGGACCCCCTGTTCCATCCTCTTCTTCCTCCTGCTCCTTTCACAGGTGCTGCCTCTGGAAAACAAGATGAAGAACCCACGGCAGTTCCCTGTGATCCTCTATGTGGGGATGACAATCGTTACCATCCTGTACATCAGCCTGGGTGTGCTGGGCTACCTGCGCTTCGGGGCGGCCATCCAGGCCAGCATAACACTCAACCTACCCAACTGCTGGTGAGTGCTGCCCAGGGATGTTGTCCTTACTTGCTCATGTGAGCCTGGAGGGGGACAAAACAACCTGAGGGAGCTGTCACCCACATCCTCTTTGATTTTTCCCTTGGGATTGGGTGGTTGTGTGCTGCAGTGCTCTGTATTTATCCTGGAGGAGAATGCAAGCAGTTCCTCTGCCTTTGGGACGAGAAGTGTGGAGGCTCTTAGCATTCAAATGTTGGGCAGGACTCAGGGTTTTGAGTTTGTGAGGCTGTTGTGGTCACCCTGTGGGGCTGGGAGCTCTTCCAGATGAGGTCTCTGGCTGTGCATGGTGCTGGGTCACACTGCCAGCCCCTACTCACAGCTGACCCATATTGCTGGCAGCCTCAGCTGTGTCTACTCCAAAGGAACACGTTCTCTTTAGAAGAGGATAAAGTGACTCAGGCTACAGGAAGATCCTACATCACATCTGTATTTCTAGGAGCATCTCCACTTTCTGGTTGGGGGTGGGCAGAGCAGGGCTGTCAGGCAGGGCAGAGCAGCGTGGCCCTTTGGCAGCAGGCACGGGGAAGCCCAGCAGCACAGGACAGGAGTGCTGTGTCTGCAGTGACTCAGAGCGTGGAATGCTTCCGTGTCAGTGCATGTTTCTTCCTGGCAGAACACCTGATGTAAGCTGTAAACACTGAACTTGGAAATGTGTTATCTGTCTTGTTAAAGGCAAATAACTGGGACAGGGGCTGGGAAACTCAGGCTGAAGTCTCGAGGAGTTATTCCCAGGCATGTGTTGCCCAGGAGGTGATGGGTGAAGGTTTGCTTTGGGAGCAAGTGCTTTGCCAGCAGGTTTTCTCTTCGATGGCACAAGACAGCAGCTGCAGAAGGGTCAGAAAGGCTTGGGGTGAGATCTATCAGTATGGGAACAGGTGAGGTCTGAACAGAGGATGCTGCACCCTTCCTTCACTGCAGCCATTGCCTGGAGGTCTTCAGGAGCACATTTAGTGAATGTGTACTGGGATCGTTGAGATAGAGGGTGACTCAGGGCTTTTCAGCCTCATTGCTCTGTAACCACAGCTTCCTCGAGCGATGAGTGTCGGTGCCCAGGGCTGACCACAGCCTCCTGAAATACCGTTCCTTACAGCCTCTGGAGTTGCTTCATCCTGAAAGGTGCCATCCTGAATGGGAAGGAGGGGCAGATGTTGGCTGCGTGCAGCCCGTTGGAGGTGTGCAGTGACCAAACTTACGGCCAGAGGAGGATTTCCCTGCCCATGTGGCCTTGGGTTTTCTGTTGGTCAGAACTGGTTCTTGAGCTCTTCCTCTTCTTGGTATTCAGACTGCCCTTTTGTCCTCACCCGACCAGTGCACGACTGAGACCCAGCCTTAATCTGAACCTTTTCTTTTTTTTTAATTTTATTTTAATAACATCTCTTAAACATAGATTGCCTTCGAGCACTTAATTGCTTTATGACATTCCCTTAATCAAGCAGTAGGAGATGAGGAGCATAGGATAGGTGGCTCAAGGCTACTGTGCACCTGGGCTTGGGAGCACAGTGTGCTCAGCTGAGCGCTGCCCTCTGGACTCTGCTGATAGCTCTGCCCTTTGTTGGCTGCAGAATCGCTGGGTAATGAGGTTTGGAGAGAGGATGGTGAGATGGTTGGGTCTGACCACCTGCTCAAAGCAGAACCTGCTTCAGTGTTGAGTGTCAATAAGGATGGAGACTCCCAGCCTCCCTGTGCCCATGTCATGGTGCTGACTGACCCTTCTGGATGCAGCTCTGCTGCCTCTCTGATTCCTGTTTCCCTGAGTAGAGCCTATTTTTGTCTTCTCCACGTCCTCGCAGATGATAAATCCCACCTGGTTGTAAGCAGGAAAAAAGTATCTATTTCCCTTTGTTCAAGCCAGTAGTGGAGTTTTCCTAGTGAAGCTCAAGCTGATCACCACCTCTGGGGTGGGTGATGGACACAGCTCCATTCTGGGTCATGGGCTGAGAACAGGCACAGCAGGCTGTGGGCAGTATCGGTGCTGCTGCCCATCTCTGTGGTCGGGGTGTTTCCTAATGCTTGGGTATCTGGGTGTTGTCTGTGTGTGGTCACCTTGTGTCACTGCACACCTTGACCTGGTCAGGCAGCCATAGCCTGCACCTCTCTATGGGCAGTGCTGACCCTGCAGGATGCACTGCTTTGTGCAGTGCTGGCATACACGAGTGTCTAGATATCAGATGGGTGCCTCATGTCAAGGAGCATGTTGGGCTCCAGCCCCCAGGCCAGGGACATAACAGGTTTCCCCATGCCCTTGGGAGGAGTTAGGAGCAGAACACCACTCTGTATGATTTGTTTTTATTTTGAAACAGCCCTTTGCATCTGTGCCCAGGAGATTTCCCAAGGGGAAGCAGCACTTGGGAGGCTGCTGGCCCCACTGTTGACCTGCTGCTCCTTACAAAGAGCTGGAGCCTCTAATTAGGTGTGGGCATGTTGCAATGGCTTGGATGCTGTGCTATCTCCTTGCTGTCTCTTGCACAAGAGGTGTCTCAGTGGGTTGAATGCATTAGCTCTTAATGTGCCAGAAGGAAAAGAGCTGAGATGCAGAAGTCCTTATAGGCAGTGTTCCTGCTCTGCTTTATGCATTTGGAATCATAGTATCTCCCAGGTTGGAAGGACACCATAAGGACCATTGAGTCCAACTCCTAGATTGGCACAGGAACACATCTCACTGTTCTCTCCTTCTCATTTGCAGGCTGTACCAAGCTGTCAAGCTGCTCTTCTCCTTTGGGATTTTCTTCACCTATGCTGTGCAGTTCTACGTCCCTGCTGAGATCATCATCCCACCACTGGTTGCCCGTGTGCCAGAGCGCTGGGGCTGGCTGGTCAACCTGCTGCTGCGGGTGGTCCTGGTTGGCATCACCTGTGAGTAGAAAGCAGCCTGTCCCAGAGCCTTTGTCCCGCTGTCTGAGTCCCACTGAATTTGGGGGAGCCATCAAGTCCCATCAAATTTTGTAGAATGCATCCCAGCAGCTGATCTGGTGCTTGGGCAGCCCACGTTGGAGCTTTGGAAGGGTGCAGATGCAGCAGGAGTGAGCTCTTCTCACCCAAAAGCCATGTGCTGGCTAGAACAGCAAAACTTGGGGACACCCTCTGCTCCTTCAGCTTGGAGTTGAGGGTTGGAAGGCTTTTTCAGGTGGCTTTTACTGACTGTAGCTCAGAGAGGGCTGTGATCTGTCCCAGTTCTGCACTGAGGTACAGCCTGGTGCTTGCTGTAGAAGTCATTTGTTATGTGCAGCTGCTCCCAGGAGTTTGAAGTTCGGTCGAACACGTGATGTTAGCAGTTGGGAATGAGGTTTGGCCTATTTTCCTGCTTAAAGGGAAAAATCTGAACTGAGAAAAGCAAACTTGTAGAAGCTTAAAGGGCATCAGCTCAGTGAAGCACAGGGGTGTCTGATTTTTGGCTGGCTTTGATTCCTGTAAACTAAGTCTTGGCTGTTCTCAGCACAGCTGAGATGCTTCACTGAGCTTCCAGGCATCGCCCCCCCGAAGCACAGCGTTCCTGCATGGCGTGGTGCTGCCAGTGCATCAGAGCTGAGCATTACAGACCTGATCCTGTGTCTCAGTAGCTCTGGTTTGGGCTTGGCTGCATCATGGCCAGGAGCTGTGTGTCTGTCTGCTCTGCAGCCGAAGTCACTTCCTCATCCCATTATTGCTCAGCGCGTGAGAAGAGGAAGCTTTGATCTTGCTGCCTTTCATTTCCTCAAAATGAGAGAAGAAAAACCTCTCGGTGTCTGTTCTGCCATTTTCCACCCTCACGTGGCAGAGCTTCAGGAACTTTTGATCTTGGGCCCTGTCCTTCCTGCCCTGCAGAGCTGAGATCCCATTGGGCTCTGGTGTTGGAGAGGCTCAGAAGTTGGGGTGCACCAGACTGGGAACAGGGCTGATAGCAGCACTCGTGCCCACTGCTTGGGGGTGGAAAAGCAGCAGGGTGTTGGAAGGACACTGGTGCCTTTGTACCTCCTCCCCTTTTCATATAAGAAATTGCTGTTGGCAAGGATAAAAGCAGTCGGGGGGCTGCGTGAATATTCATGGCATGAGCATGTGGCCACAGAACATCGTGGCTTTGGCTTCCAAAGAGAGGATGCAATTTGGTGTATGGGTGTCTTTCAAGCTCAGACTTCAAACCCAGCGCCCTTAAAACCCCCTTGGAACGAATCCCTGTGGAAAGCACGGCCGTTCCCCTGGAGGCAGAGGGCTGCAGCTGGCACTTCAGCTCTGTTTTAGGGGAAGGAGGGGGTTCATTCTGTTTGCTGGGAGCCCACGGAGTGCTGTGGGGGTGGGCTGAGGATATGTTGCCCAAAGCCTGGTGCTGCGGATGCTCTTGGAGCATGAATGCTGCAGAGTTTGCAGCCACTCATTGGAAGCTGGAAGGAGGCTTCTGGGGGATTTTCCTTTGCTGCAAATGTTCCCCTCCGAGCTGTGCTCTGGGGGCACAGAGGCTCTGACTGCTTACCAACCACACACATTCATTCAGGGTGGGCTTTTCCCCACGCCTCCTCTTTTTGTGGGCTCTCTAAGGTTTTATAGCTCCCCAGGTGTGAGGCAGAGACCTGGGGGGTGCGGGGGAGATGGGACTGGGGATGCTTCAGTGAGCAGCACTCTTCTACTGGGGCACTGCCCAGCCCTCTGCAGCAGCATATATATTCATCAGCTCAGTGAAAAGCCTTAATTGCTTGGGGGGCTGTTGCTGGAAGAATGCAACCTTCTGTTCAAGGCTCAGAGAAAGTTGCAGGGTCACCTTGCAAGCAGTGGCATGGGACAGCTTTGCTTCAACAGCTCCTAGCTCAGAGCAGGGTCCAGCTCTTGGGCGTAATGTGTCCAGATGTGGAGTCCTCAGTACAGGAGAGACATGGATCTGTTGGATTTCCTCCAGAGGAGGGCCACAAAGTGATCTGAGGGATGGAACACCTACCCTACAGAGGGTAGGCTGAGAAGAGAAGGCTTTAGGGAGATTTTTATGATAAGAGTGGTGAGGCAGTGGCATGGGTTGCCCAGAGAGATGATGGTGCCCCATTCCTACAGACACCCAAGGTCAGGCTGGAGGGACTCTGAGCACCTGATGGAGCTGTGAGTGTCCCTGTTCAGTGCAGTGGAGTTGGACCAGATGGCCTTTAATGGTCCCTTCCAACTCAAACGATTCTGTGATTCTATGAGCTCCTGACCACCCTACTGCCCTCTCCCCCCCCCAGGTGTGCTGGCCATCCTCATCCCCCGCCTGGACATCGTCATCTCGCTGGTGGGCTCAGTCAGCAGCAGCGCGCTGGCTCTCATCTTCCCCCCGCTGCTGGAGATTGCCACCTACTACACAGAGGGCATGCACCCTCTGCTCATTGCCAAGGACGTGCTCATCAGCCTCTTCGGCTTCGTTGGCTTCGTGGTGGGCACCTACGAGGCGCTGGTGGAGCTGGCTACGCCTGCTGCTGTCATCAATGGCACCAGCACCTCGGGGCAGTGACGGTCCCCGCTGAGTGGTGGCACGCAGACCTGGTGCTCAGCCTTCTCCTCCTGCAGAACGTGGTGGGTTTGGGCTGCGAGGGGTGGGGGTGGCACAGCACTCATCCCCTCCACACTCCTGTACATAGTTACTTTGGGGAGGGGGGATCCTGGGGACTTTATTTTTTATTTTTATTTTATTTTTTAATCCTTCCCATATTTCCCCCATCCCATCACTCTGGGACTGCTCTTCTCTGTGCCAGTTTGTTGCGTTGTTTTTTTTTTTGTTGTTGTTGTTTTGTTTTTTTCCCCTTCCCCCACCCCACCTCTCAGCACTTTATTTTACAGCAACGAAGAAACCTCAGCTCAGGTTGGAGGTGCAGAGCTGCCTCTTCACCCTGGCCCTCCGGGATGCAGAGCAGCGCTGGGTGTGAGCACTGCTGGTGCAGGTCCTGCTGTGCTCTGGTTTCCAGCTCTTTCGTGCAGAGAGGGCTGCCATGGAAGGTTCTTTTAGTTCTTTTTTTTTTTTCTTCTCCCTGCACACATACCCCTCACATGGTTTTTGGCATTAGGAATTCAGGTGTGCAGAGCCCATGCTCTGCAGAAACACAGCGCCTTGTTTGCCGCGCTCTGGCTGCATCTGCAGTCCTCCACTGAATGTCACACCCCCAATAAGAACACTGATCATGTTGTTTTCCCTCCTGGCCCCAGTGACAGCTCCCAGCAGGAGGCAGCCCGTTGCACTGCTCCCTCTCCTTCTGCTGCTGGTACTGGGGCAGGTGCACACAGGGGGCACAGACTCCAGCCTTGCCACACTTTGCCTTTCTGCTGCTTTTTTTTTCATTATTTTTTTATTTTAAGGCAGATGAGGGCAAATGAATCCTCCATTGGGTATTTCATACTGGTGGTGCAGCTGCACTCAGGAGAGGAAGGGCACACAGAACGGTGTGCACGCAGCCAGCAGGGCTCTGGGCTCCCTGCAGGTGGGAGAGGTGCAATATCTGTGCCCAGTGCTGGCACTGCTGTCCCCTGGGAGGGGATGGCTGGCAGTCCCAACAGGAGGGACGGCCCTGTTCTGGGGTACAGCTGTGTGATTGCTGTGTCCCCAGCACTGGGGTTGGTGGGTTTGCTGGAGTGGTGCATAGCACTGAGTTTGCTTTGTGCTCACAGGGCACCATGGCAATGTTAAGCAGTGTCTGGTGGAGTTTTTTTGGTTTTATTGGGCTGAAGCACAGTGGGCTGGTGGGAAACACATGGGATACCAGGAGGACCTGGTACGGGACCAAGGGGACACAGAAATGTGACACTTGTGTGTTGTAGCTGCTCTGTGACCAGGGGAATTGTGTATATACAAAGGTGATTAATGTCCGTGTCGTGTGCCTATGGATATTGTCAGTGTGGGTCGCTGCCTACTGCTGCAGCACCTGAATCATGTATCTCACTTTAATCAATAAATAAGAATTATTTTTTACGTGGAAAGGCTCTGCGATGAGGTGGGGCTCCTCTCCCCCACGCCCAGAGGAGCAGGAAGGCTGGGAGATGTGAGGGGAGCCCAATAGGGTGCCTGGGGCAGCAGTTTGCTGTCAGCACCAGTGATTTCCTATGGCTTTGGGAAACTTGGCCTTGCTTGCAAGTGCTGCATCAGTGCAGTGCTGGGGTGCTGCTGTACAAACTGAGGTGGTGTTCTCAGGGCAGCCCTTTGCTGGAGCCATGTCCCTGTTGCAAAGGAATCAGAGTTATTTGATGAAATCACAATAGTAAAAACAAACAAACAAACCAACTCTTTTAATACTTTGCAAAAAAAAAAAAAAAAAAAAAATCAATGAAATGGCAAAAAAAATATTACATCAAACAACCGACCAAAGTAAACCTCTCACAAGAAACAATACAACCCCCAGCAGGAGGACGGATGGACCAGCCTGTGGGCAGCACATAGTGCCCGTCCTGGGATCCACACGGGCACAGTTTGTTTGGTCCATTTTGGGATACAGCAGACCCAGGACCCCTTGCAGGGGGTGGCAGGGCTGGGTACCGCTGTCACCAGCTGGGGGCCAAGAGAGCTGTGGGCATGGCTCTGTGCCAGTCCCCGTGCCTGTAGCCCTGGGGCTGGGTGCCCTGCACCATGTTTCAGTCTACTCCTTGGTGCTTGGTTCTTCTGTAGAAATGGATTTAAGTTTGTTTTTTTTTTTCTTGGACTTCCTTTTGCCGAGTGAGGATGTGCTGGTGGCACTGGCTGCATATTCCTATCTCTCACCCTGGGGAACAGATGGAGAAGAGGCTGTGCACCAACTGCGCCGTCCCACTGAGCAAACCATTGCCCTGATGCAAACTCTCAGTGCCAGAGCTGGATGCAGGGAGACCTGCGTGCCACCTGGGCTTGGCCATTGCTGGTCCTTCCGTGCCTTCTCCACCACTGCTGTCCCTGTGGTGCTGCTCTGTCCTCCCCACGGCTGGGCAGCACAGGGTGGGAGATGTGCGGTGCCCGTGAGGTGCGTTAGTCATTGGCATCCCAGGAGCATCCTCCACGTCCCGGCTGTGGCTGGAGCATTTCCCCTCTGTCTGCAGTGCAGGGACAAGGATCCAGCCAAATTGCAGCCCAGCCATGCAGGGGGAGATGCTGCAAGCTGGGCCAGGGGAACTGCAAATCCCCTGGTACCACGTGCCAACTCCGGCGCTTCTCCTCTCATCCCAAGGATGAGTCCCTCCGTTAGAACATCACCTCCTCACAGCTGCCGTAGTCGCTCTCCACCATGTCAGAGCCCTCATAGTTGGGGGGTGGTGGGGGCTGGGTGCGCAGGGCGGGTGGATGGGCCCCCACCTCACAGTCGGCATAGGAAGGTTGGGCCACGCTCAGCCGCATGCTCACCCGCTTGTAGCTGGGGTCGGGTGGGTATGGGGCACCTTCACCCTGCACCAGCTGGGCTGGGTAATAGCTGATGGCTGTGTACTCGTTCTGGCACTGGGATGCTGCCATCTCCACGGGTCCCAGTGGTAGGAGGTCCTCCAGATTCTGGTTGCTGTAGCGGGGAGGGATGGGTGCCCGCTTGTTGCTTTGGTCCAGTGGGAAAGGGAAACCCCCATAGAGAGTGACTGGCTCCGGGTCTGCTGGTGGAGGGGGTGGTGGGGGGAGAGGGGTGTGGGAGGAGGGCACGGCGGGGGGACCTTGGATGATCTCGTAGTGGGAGTATTCCTGGACGTCAGAGGAAAGGTAGCGTGGTGGCCAATAGGTTGTTTCTGCTGGGTACACTGGAAGGAAACAGAGCTTTGTTAACTGTGTGGGCTGCTTTCCTCCCCCTGCTAATTCCTGCTGCATAAGCCTGAGCAGCAGGAGATGTGCCAGCCAAAAAGAGGAGTTATGGGAAGCGGGTAGTCGTAGTGTCTGCCTTGGGAATGAAGAGGGCTTCTTGGCTCCCACTGGGACCTAAAAGGCAACTCCTCATTGTGCCACATGGCTGCAAGAAGCTGGCACAATGATGGGATGGTGCAGAGCAAGTGACTCACTGGATCTTTCCCCCTCTCTTTCTCTCTATCTCTGGTATAATCTGATTTTTGGGTGGCCCTGTGTGGACCTCAAGTTGGACTTAGTGATCCTTACAGGTCCCTTCCAACATGGGATAGTCTATGACTCTCTGACCTGGGCACTTCCTTCTGGCAGCTGTCCTTGATGCTGCCGAGCTCCCAGTGAGCTCTGTGCCAGGCCAAGCAGGGACCCAGCTGCCTGGGGCTGTTTCCCTCTGTTGTGATCTCTCTGGCAGCTGATGCAAAGGATGCCACTAAAACTCACACTGAATTCCACTCTCCAATCATCACTTTTCTCTTTTATAGGGACTTTTTAGCCTGGGTATGTGGGAATCCAGGCCATGCATTAATGAATTCCCTGCTGATTTTGTAGAGAACTGAACAAGCTGAAGTTGAATACTGGTATTTATGAGTGGGGGAAGAGCCAGTGAAGGCACTTGGACATCATTGGCCCATGTTTTTCTTGTCTTTACCCAACACCATTGGTCTCCCACATCACAAACCTTCCATCCACTCCCCCAGGGATAAAAGCAAGAGCAAGCTGTGGCTACTGACCCATCTCCTCTCTGGCCCAGGTGCACTTGACGAAGGACTCGTTGTCAGAGTTGGATGGGGGGGCCGGGGGCAGGTTGGGTGCCACACTGCACACAATGGTGCCGCGATGCTTGGGCCCGTTGGCCGAGTTGAAGGTGACAAACTCAGGGGTACCGCTGGCTTTGCGCTGCTCCGGCGCCGCCCGATCCAAATTGTTGTGGGCAGCATCGCTGAGGATGTTGAGCTCGATGGGCGGCACCGCTTGGGTGCCCACACCCACGCTCTTGGAGAATTCGCTCTTGGACAGCAGATCAGGGTCCTCCCGTGCCACCGGCTTGTGAGCCTTGGCCCGGTGCTGGTAGCGCTTGCGGATGAGCACGAAGGCCACGGCCAGGATGGCTGCCCCCAGCACGCCGGCTGCGATCTCAGCAATCTCCTCAGGCCCTACAGCCCAGTGCGTGGGCACGATGGCAGGCGTGATGATGGGCTGCGTGCAGTAGTCCCCCTGGTAGTCCGATGGGCAGATGCAGTGGATGGAGCCCTGGGTGCTCACGCAGCGTCCGGCGTTGTGACATGGGTTGTCCTGGCATTCCTCAGCCAGCTTCTCACACCTGGGGAGATGGAGGCAGAGGGCATCAGCCTGGGGGTGAGGCCCAACCCACGGCATCCTGCTCTGAGCTCTGCTTTATGCCTACTGGGATGCTCTGTCCTGGCACAGAGTGCCACCTGCCTCTGCTGTCAGTGGATCTTGACGTTTACCATGGTGGTGTTCAGAAGAAGGCCATGTTTTGCAGAACAGCCCCTTTTTGGAAGGCATTTTATGGAGTATATACAGAGCTGAGACTGAATTTCTAGTACTCTGTCCTTCTGCACCCCATACACTCTAAGTATTCCCCTTTCCCGCTCTCCAGCAGGGCAGGGGATTTTCCTTCCATCCCTTCCAGCAGCAGTGACCTCCCATATTAGGAGAGATATGCAATAGCTGGTTTTCCCTTCCCCCTCCCCCCCACATTACTGTTACTGAAGAACCCCTGCGAGTTTTTCGTTCTTTTATTTCTCAGCCAGGGCTCGAGATGCGTGTGCTGGTCCTTGCAACGCGTGCCCAATGGCCGTGCCCGGAGTGCTGATGACCGCAGGTATCATCGCACTGCCACCTAACGCCCGGAGCTGCGCTACTGATTCCCCTCTTGGCATTGATTCAGAGCGTCGGTGTCCATCCTGGCCAAGCGACCCGGCCGGGAGGAGGAGCTGCTGTGATGCTGCCCTGAGCTCCGAGCAGCCCCTGGGGGTGTTTGCTTCCCCAGCTGCAGGCATTTGGCATGCACTCACCCACGTATCAGGTGGGGAGGTGTATCCAAACACCGTGCAGCCCAGCAATCAGGGGATCAGCAGGACAGCTGGCAGCGTCCTACACCTGTTTTTAGGCAGCCCCGCACTGCACTGCTTGCAGGTGGGTGCAATGAGCTCTAGAAGCACACAACGCTCGTTGCTGAGGTCACGCTTTCAGCCTTCCCTGAGAACCATCTGGCCCTTTCAGCCCTTACCTGTCGCCCAGGTACCACTCGGGGCAGTGGCAGGAGTACCCGGAGCCGGAAAGGACGCAGGTGCCGCCGTGCAGGCAGGGCTTGGACTCGCAGGGGCTGTCACCCAGCTCACAGCGCTCACCAGAAAACAGCCCGGGACAGATGCACGTGTAACCTGCAGAGGTGAGAGGGTGCCGTCAGGAGACTGCTGGGTGGGATTTCAGCTGCTGGTTCGTGTAGCCCTGAGCATGGGAATGCCCCCGGCTCTGCTGAGGTCCCGCAGTCCCTCAGCTGGCGGTGCCACGTGAAATGTTCTGGCATTTTACCCTGCGGCACTCTGCAAAGCCTTTGCTGCTCATCCGTAGCACAGCTTTAGAGCGATGCGAGCAGGGCAGACCTGTTGCCACATGCATGCAGTGCTGTGCAGCTGGGATGTGCTGCTGCTTGCAGGGCAGATGCTGGACGTTGCCCGTGGGGCTGCGAGCACGCGTGTTCACATGGCTTTGTGTCTGTGGTTCTGGTTGATGTGGTGCTGGGTTTGTGACCCTCTGGGCGTTCTCACTTGGTCACATGGCTGCTGGCCCACCCGAGTAAGCTCCCAGGGACCTGTGTGTGCATGTGTGGGTAATCCTGTGCCTGAGGTTCTTGTGCAGAGATTTGTACAAATTCATGCTGTGCACCCGTGGTTTGCAGGACTGCTGCAGGAAGGCAGGTGCTCTGCTGTGGCCTTCCATCAACCCCTGCCCTGCAGGAATGTCCTGCAGGGCCCTACAGGGTGGGGGTACACCTGGTGAGTGGGACAGAGTCTGGTGCCAAGCCCCTGCTGAGCACTTGTGCCTCATGCTAACCTGTGATGCTCATGTGCAAGTGTGCAAGCTTCCAGTTTTCCCAGATACCTTCCCA